CACCACCACTGTCCCCGTGCCTGCGAGGGAGGAAGGGACAAAGGGGCTAAGTGTGTGCGAGAGAAGTGGGGGGCGGGGTGGTGGTGGGAAGGGTGGGGGAAGGGGGTCGAGGTCGAGGGTACGAGAAGGAGGGTGGAGGATGAGGAGGGAGGATTAAGGGTGAGGGATGGGGGAAGAGGGAGGGATAGGTGGATGAGGAGAAAGTGGAACTGGAGAGATATATCATAGATAATGGAAGCTAGTGTATGTACATGCACACACACGCCAATACACGAAGACCCACACATACACACAGACACAAACTCACACACTCGAACACACACATACTGTTACCCACACACACAAACACACGCACACATATATATACATACATATATATATATATATATATATATATATATATATATATATATATATATATATATATATATATATATATATATATATATATATATATATATATATATATATATATATACATAATATATATATATATATATATATATATATATATATATATATATATATATATATATATATATGTGTGTGTGTGTGTGTGTGTGTGTGTGTGCGTGTGTGTGTGTGTGTGTGTATGTGTGTGTGTGTGTGTGTATGTATGTATATATCATCATCATCATCACCATTAGCCTAAATCAGTCCACATCAGGACGTAGGCCTTTCCCAATCTTTTCCAACTTTGTTTGTCTTGAGATTTGTGTTTCCAGTCAATTTTTTTCGTTATTCGCGTCACGCCATCTTGTCACTGGTCTGGCCCTTGGCCCCTTTATGTTATTTATATCCAATCTGTTACTTTCTTTGTCCATCTGTCGTCCTGTCTTCGACACATATGACCTGTCCATTGCCATTTTTTCTTTTTGATGCTCACAAGTATATCTTCCACTTTTGTCTGTTCCCTGATCCACGTCGCCCTTATCCGGTCTGGCTAATTCCCAGCATCAACATTTCCATCCCTCTCTGGGCACTTATTAGTTTCATCTCCAGTAATTTGGTTGTAGTCCATGTTTCTGATCCATAGGTCATAACTGGGGGGACTTATTGGTTAAAGATTTTTCTTTTTAAACATAATGGCAAGGAGCTTCTTAGTATGCTACTGTGTTTGCCGAAGGCGCTCCAGCCTAATCTGATGAAGCACTTAATTTCCTCTTCACTAGATGTGTTTGACTGTACGAGTTGCCCTAGGTATATGTACTTGTCCACTACCTCTAGCGCTTCGCTTTGTACATGTATCTGTTGAACTCTGGTGTTGAACATGATCTTAGTTTTTTTGTTGTTCATCCTAATTCCGGCTTTCAGACTTTCTCTTTTCAGATCGTTTATTAGTTACTGCATTTCATTTGCAGATTCACTGCAGAGAACAATATCATCTGCAAATCTTAGATCAAGACCAGCTGTAAAGTTTTACTGAGATGGTATCTTTCTGTGTAACACCTTTATTGATTGGTATTTTATCGGTTTCCGTGTGGAGCTTGATGGTTGCTGTCCCATCTTCGTACACGTCTTCCAATATTTTACAATATACCTCCTCTACTCCCTGTCTTCGAATAGCTTCTAGAACTGCTGGTATTTGTAGAGAGTTAAATGCATTTTTGTAATCGATGAATGCCATATTCGTTTATTTTGTTTTCTTATTTGGGTGAGTGTGTGGATGTGGTCTGTTCTTGAGAATCCACTGTGGAAGCCTGCCTGTTCTCTTGGTTTGTTAGAGAGATGCGAATTGTGATGACTTTTTCGAACAGTTTGTAAGTAACTGAAAGGAGACTTATGGGTCGGTAGTTTTTTTTTTTTAGATCCTTTCTATCCCCCTTTTATGTATAAAAAATGTTGCATTTTTCCAAGCTTTTGTTAAAAAGGTTGGCTAGTTTCACTGTTGCAATTTCTACTGCATCTATTATAAGGTCTGTACTAATTCTGTCTTCACCTGGTGTCTCTCTCTTCATGCCTTTAAGCGATCTTTTTATATCTTCTGTTGTGAAGTTAGGTACGTCTCTATGTTCATTTGAATTTTATAGATCCATGTAAAAGTCTTCCACTATTTTTATGATTTACTTCTTATTATACGCCACTTTATCCATCTGTTTTTTTTTTTTTTATTGTATATACACTTGTTTTTTCCCTATTGCGAGTCTTCTTTTAGCTGTTTTCATGCTGGTACCTGATATCACTGTACATCTCTTCTCTTCATTTTATTTAAAGTCTTTGATAGTACAGCTAATTCTGTCTTGTCTTGTCCCTGTTTGACAGTACTTTCATAATCCTACGTTTTTGCATAAAATGTTTAGTTTTTACCGAGAGCTTGCTGGAGCTTTGCTTGACGTTCTTAACAACTACTTTATCATGTTATTGAACTGTTTGTTGATTTGGTCAATGTTGAGATCTTCGTCGCTGAGAAGTGAATATTTGTTCTGGATGTGAAGGTTAAATTCTGTCGCTCTGGTCTTCAAATTACTTAAATTTGGTTGCGGTTTTCTTATTCGTTTGT